TAACGTTGTTAATTATCTAATAAAAAGTCCCCGGCCAAGAGGTCACCTTAACACCGAAAAAAAAAAAAAAAAAATTAGTGTTGAAAGGAGTAAATATAAAATTTTGATTGTTATCAAATTGAAAATAAAATATAACCTTTAGATATAAATGATATTGTTATTGATATTAAATTAAAGTTGAAAAAATAAATACTAGAACTTTAAAAAGAATAAATACAAGACTTTTAGATATTATTTATATAATATTAGGCATGGTTATTATATAGAAATTATATAGTGTTAAAAAGAACAAATATAAAAATTTTAGTTATTATTAGATTGGAGGTGAAAATATAACCTTCAGATATCAACAATATTGTTATCAATATTGAATTGGAGTTAAAAAAATAAATATTAGAAATTTAGAAAGGATAAATACAAGTCCTTTGGATATTATCTATGTAATATTAGGCATTGCTATTATGTAGAAATTAGAACAAATACAAAAATTTTGGTTATTAAATTGGAGGTAAAAACATAACTTTTAGATACAAATGATATTGTTATTAATGTTGAATTGGAGTTGAAAAAATAAATGCTAGAATTTTAAAAAGAATAAATGCAAGGCCTTTGAATATTATCTATGTAAAATTAAATATTGCTATTATATAAAAATTAGTGTTGAAAAGAACAAATATAAAAATTTTGGTTATTATCAAATTAGAGGTAAACATAACCTTTAGATATAAACAATATTGTTATCAATGTTGAATTGGAGTTGAAAAAATGAATACTAGAAAGGATGAATACAAGGCCTTCAGATACTGTATTATCTATGTAATAGGTATTGCTATTATAGAAATTAGTGCTGAAAATAATAAATATAAAAATTTCAGTTATTATCAAATTGAAGCCTTCAGATATAGATGATATTGTTATCGATGTTGAATTGGAGTTGAAAAAACGAATGCTAGAACTTCGAAAAGGATAACACAAGGCCTTTGGATATTATCTATGTAATATTAGGTAGAGATGGGGTCGGCTTATAGTGAGCCGGCTTAGCCGTGGCTTTTGAGCCAAGCCGATGTGACAAATCGAATTTATCACGAGATATATTTAAACATTTTATAACTAATTTCTAAAAAACAATAGAGCATTGAATCAGAAAGTAAGTTGTAAATAAACTATTCAAGCTAGTCTGTGAATTCCTTGAATAAGATCGAGGGTACTATAAGCAGCGTTATACAGTAATTTACGATGTAACTTACAATATAAGTTACATTGTTGAACTTACAACATAGGTTACATTTGTCAGGTACGATATTACAATCCTAGTTCTAAAGAATCTGTTTACGTAATTTTTACTATAATCTAGTAGCTATGAGCCGGATAAATTAACTATGTACATTTTAATTTATTAACACTAATCCATTTCAATGAGATTATTCTTCAGCGAAATTTTTCATTGGATTCATTGATCTGAAAGTCCAATTATGATAAACAACAAATGTTAATCAATGCTATCAGATAAAGGAGGATGCTTAATAAACTTCGGATCGTAATTCTTAAATTCCTGTTCCATATCTTTAGCAATTCGACGCATTCTCTCTTCGGAAGACGATGGTATAAGTACCTTCTCCCATAGTCCTTCTAGGTTACGATATTTTCTTGCTTCAGGAGTGAATAAATGTACAAAAATATTCCCGGAGTCGATTAACACCCAATCGTCCGAATCTCGGCCTTCAATGATCGGATAGTTATTGATAAATGAGTTCGATTGATCTTCACTCCGGCGTTTTATGTTATCTTTTAACTTTTAGAAAAAATTCCGTTTAAGATGTTAAAGATCAATTCTTTTTACTAGAAAAACTGTAGCTTCTTACCATTTTATAAAGACTGCTTGCTGCTCCAACTAAATGTCTAATAGTTTTTCCTTCACCAATTATCATCCAATTGGTAAAGTCACATTTTTCTCTCACATCAAGTAAAGTAATATTTTCTATACCTTCATCTTCCAAAAATCTTATAATATCAGATGAGGTTGTAAGTTCATTTGAAGTAGATGAAAGTTGATTTGTGCGTTGCCATAATGGTATAAATTCTATGCTTTCTTCCTGTAGATTCTCGTATGATGGATCCACAAACCACATATCATCTGCGTCATTATGCGGCTCATTGTCATCATTATATTGTCAATAAAATGCTGATGCTTCACGGGCCCACCAAAAATATACTTGATCTATTGTTAGATTCTCAAATCTATCAAGTTTTTTAATTAATATCTCTCAATAAAGT